TTCGACGGAAACAGGATGTCTCCTTCCACGTACTCGCCCAGCTCCTCCGGATTTACATCCATATCCTCGCGCCACTGTGCTACCTTCGATCCAGTTTCATTGCTCGGGTATCTGTAGAGTAAACTGCCAAAACTCTGCAGATGAGCGATCAATCCACCAGGACCGTCCACGGCGTTGTCGAAGATGTCCCGACGACGAAAGCTCGGCCACGCAAACGTCAACGACGTCACGACGAGAAGCATCCACACGAGGGTGGCTAATAGTCCACATGGCATGATCGACATTCAATCGGATCAAGTAAGAAGTATCACGGAATACGAAGTTTAGGTACCTTTAGATACCTTTACAGTCACGCGACAACGAACGCGAATGATACGTAACTACTCGGGTCGTTCTCGTTTTTATATACGCCACATGGAAAAAAAATCTGTGCCCCACCCGCGCGGATGTACTCGCTGTAGGAAGTAACTCCGGAAATGATCGGGGTCATCCGTTGATAACCGTGGACTTTTGGTGATGGCGAGCTCAGATTTATTCCTGGTATCTCTCTGATACCTCGAAGGTGCGACACCAAGACCTCGAGGCCGCTGTTATGAATCATTAATCCTCCCGACATGGCGGTTATTTTAGAGGAGGTCGAATTCTTTTCTAATACTTTCGCAATTCCGATGACATATGGATCAATCGTTATTGATATTATAATCCAAAGAAGTTAATATTCTAATTTAGGAGATATTGAGAGGAAATATTTTCTCACCGAGAAGTGCAATTATTTCAATTTTAAAGTACTTAGTAATCAATCAATTCGAAAGTATTTAATTATGAATCGATTTAAGCATTAAGAAAATTCTGTAAAATATAATACGAATTAAATATTAGTTGTAAATAGACTCATTATAGATGAATCTTTAGTCCATAAGTTGATGTCTTTTGGAACCAAATACAGGATGTCGATGCATAATAAAATTTATTAGTTAATGTTTTATACGTATCGATCCAGCTTCGGATCCTTTTCAATGCACATTGAACGAACTCATTGAGTTTCCTAACACTGTACAAATGTAATGTGTCGATATTTCACTGTTAACATAATTAAAAAAAAATAAGTGTTGACAAGAAATAATAATCTAATATATTGTAAATATATGTATAAGACATTAGAACTCTTTAATAAACCTTGTTACGCATCGACATCCTGTGTTTGGTTCCAAAAGGCATCAACTTGGACTAAAGATTCATCTGTAAAATATGTTCTATAATATAGTATGTTTTTAATATAAATATGTTTTTTATAAAAATTTTGGATATTAAGAAACAATTTTAGAGAATAAATCTTGATTGGTGTCTCAGGATATTTATATTTTATTTGCATATACCAAGGAATAAGAAATAAACAATTTTAGAAGGGCGAGATGATTTCACGGAAGTGAAGAAGTTCAGATTCCGTTTAAATGGTCACTTGATGCGTCAAGTATACGTCTGCATAATAGGAGAATGGCATTATTAGCACATAGAATAGGCGGGATTAATATCCCGGCACGAAGTCATTCACATGCAAATTTTGCCAGACAAACATTTGTCATCGAAGAACCTCGATGTATGACAGCAATTAAATAACCAAGGACGATTTTTATTATCCGTTTCGATATTATACTCATCATTGTGATACATTCATTCAATTTAAGAAAAGAAACTTGAACAAATTCTTGAGATATTTTAAATGTTTACATTCTTTAAATGTTTACAAAAAGTTACTTGTGAAGCGTAGATGTGCAAATTATTTCAAATGATTCACTAAAATGAACCCAAAAAGAACTTTAGAAAAATGTTGTAGAAAATGGGAGATCCTAGGAAAAAATGGTTTATATATAATTATATATAATTATATAAAAATTGACATATTTTATATACAATTATATAAAATTATATATAAAATATGTCTATATATATTAGGTGTTGGAATTAATTCGTAGCGTTTTACAAGTGATGGGAAGTACTTTCATTAATGTATTTTTTAATGCTCATCTGAAATATATAACATTCTTTCATTAAAAAACGCTACGAATTAATTCCAACACCTAATATATTTATATATAACATTTTTTTCCGGGATTTGTCTGAACTTTCTGTTTATAAGTTTATAAAACATTCTATTTCTCAATCTTCATAGGACTGAGCCTGCATTTGAAATAGTTTTATTTAAAATACAGTATTTGCAGTACAAATATATTTTGTATTTTGTATTTTAGCGGAGCACATAAAAGTATTATGTATTTTGTGTTTAAAATTGAAAAATCGAAAGTTTTTGTATTTTATAATTCAAATAATAAAATTGATTGTCAATTTAAAATTTAAAATACTAAATACTTTTACATTATACTCTTATGAAATACAAAATATTAAATACAATTGATCTTACAAATACTTGTTTTCTATATAAAAGTATTTCAAATACATGCATGCCCAGATCTTCATAAATTTTTCCAACTAGAATTCAAGAATTTTTTAAGAAATCCAATTGGATTTTGATTAGGGATGCAGAAAAAGGGATCTCACTTCTAATATTCGCAATGGACAAAATTTTTGTATAGGACAGCGAAAAGCCGTTGACACCGTTGGGTTTTTCCGGACTCAAGGAATAGTAGGCAAAATGCCGTTTTTTATAATCATTCGAGTGATTACAAATGGTAGCGAACCAATTGCGAACCTATGAATATCGCAATGTTTAACTAGCATACAGATAGCAAGAGGCTAAAAGCCGCATTACGAAAATTCTGTTGCGCGTTATCTAAAACCTGTTTGAATGGCGTACTAGAACTAAATGTTAGAACTTAGGTCCCCCTTTCTATTATACAAGCAACACGATAATTTTTGATTAAAAAAAAAATAAATAAATCCCGTCCACGCACGCCATTTACATACAGATCTGTATTTCTGGGGTTGGCATTTTTATTACATTTAGAGAGAGAAAGACAAAAGTATAAAACTAAAATCATATAAACAAATCTATACGACAAAAATTAAACCAAAATTATATAAATAATTTTAGTATATTTTAATATTCTAATTAATATTGAAATATATTTTTATACAATCTTGAACTTCTTTTATGTGATTAATTTAGTGTTCAATAAAATATTTGTTAAAAAATATTTGTGAAATACTTATAAAAACTTTAAATTATATTGTATAATTCATTAAACTGTATAATTCATCTTCATCTCTTTTTTTATTAAGTAATAAAAGTTTAATTATTCTATATTAACAAAATAATATTACATATTACTTGATTAATAATTAATCACTAATTAATTACTAAATTAATCACTAATTAATTCAGATCATCAAAATTGCTTATGGCAAGATTTTGACTTGCGTAATTCACAATCAAATTTTTCTCCCCATTTGTTAAATAATAAAAAAATTAATGAATCTATCAATGTTAATAAAATAGTATTACCTGATAAGTTAATCAGACGATTTATGCCCATTTCTATCAATGTAAATTATCTAATTTAATTTCAGTTTAATTTATTATTTTATGTACTTTTTTTAATTCTTAGAACTAGTCAAAGATAAAAAGCAAATTAAACTGAGATTTAAAGTTACATTGGATGCGTTCTGGGAGATAAGAGAAAGTTTTTGCAATAACGTGAATCCAGATACGGTAAACGCTAAGATCAGATTATCTTCTTAACAATTAATTAAGAAAAGGATAACATGACTTCAGCGTTCACCGTATCTGGATCACGTTACTGCAAAAACTCCCTACTATTTGCGCCATAAACGTAAACGCTACCAACGCTATTCGTGGAGCCAATAACGTGATAGCGTTAGTAAGCTCCATGAACGATCCTACTGTAGCGTTGATAGCGTTTAACATTCGTCGAGATTAATATAGAGGATTCTGTTCTCAATCATCCATCAAACTGTTTTCTCTAATAATTTAAATTTTTAGAGTTTCGCATTAGGTACACGTAACGTGAATTTTAATTTTTTTTCATAGTGAATCACAGAAGACAGAATGCAATCTCAATTGTAATCTCTATGATGCTGCCAGGTCGGAATAAACGAATTCTTGCTTGCTGTAAGTATCATCTTTAATTGTTCAAAGTGTCTGCCGAGTTTAATTTGCATATTTGATTTCATCACAAATGTGTAAAAGATTGGAGATATCTTGTTAATAGCGATTTTTGCTTAGCGGCAAGCCATCATAGATATTGCAATTGAAATTGCATTTTGTTATATTCACTACAAGAAAATTTAAAATTCACGTTATATATACTCTACCCCACAGCACAGAATTTGCAGTAATATCATTGCAAAATCTCTGCAATGTTGCTGCAACTTTTGTGCAACTTTTGTGCAATTGGTACTTGAGTGAATAACGCGATCTGAATTTTTGAGTATACAGAGAATCTATGGACGGTTCAGGGAAAGTTTATAATCTGTAACAATTCTTGAAACAACATTCGATCGCGTATAATAACACAGTGCTGTTCACAGAGCTTACAAACGCTAACGTTACCAATACACTACCTCGGGAGAAATATAGGGCTGCGTTCCACTTTTAACGCTCGCAATGCTCGCGAGTTTGTCCTTGTTTAACATTTAATAAACGACGAGGGTGAAATGATTCCACGAGCGTTGTGAGCGTTAAGTGGAACGCAGCCTAGCGTTGATAGCATCACGGTAGTGTGTTACATCACGCAGTTGTGATGTAACACACTACCATTAATGACCAAGATCGTGTTTGTTAGCGCTATTTGTATCTTCGCGAATAACTTGTAGCGCTAAATAGTGTCTAAAAATGTCTTCCCGAACGCACTCATTGAATATAAGATAGAAATGGACATTAGACAGTCAGAATTTCTTTGAATTCGTACATTTGAAAAAAATTGAAAGAACAATCGAAGTTTGAATTTGAGCGAGATTCGATTAATCGATCGAGTGCAGTCGAGTTTAGTCGATGAGTCAATTCGCAATATTCGCATTACATCATGAGCCAACCTACAAGACTTGAATAACCTCAAAACGTTTCTTGTCTGTTTACATCGCGGTTGTAGAGTGAATAAAATTTTGAATCACCACAATGACATGGGAGGCCGTGAAACAAGCGGCCGAGAAAAACAGGCACGAGTTAGTGCTGTCGGGCACGTCGGTGTCCCAACTGATCAAAAACACGCACGGCCTGGATAAGAACTTGTTTAATCTTCACAATTTGAATTATCTCAGTATAACATATACGTGTCTCCAGGAAGTGCCGGATGAGATCGAGAAACTGGCGAATCTTGCGACCTTGGTGCTGCACTCGAATGAGATCGTCACGTTACCATGCGAGATAGCTAAACTGGCCAAGCTGAAGGTACTCGATTGCTCGAGGAACAAGTTGACCTCTCTCCCGAGGGAACTCGGTGATCATCCCCATTTAAGCACAATCAATCTTGCCTCGAATTGTCTACGAGACGTACCGTCGCTAACTTTATGCACGAAATTAAGCATCCTAGATCTATCAAACAATCAGCTTAAGGCCTTTCCCGATGTTTGTCATACAGAACTCATACATTTGTCCGAGATTCACGTTAATGGCAATTATATAACGGAAATTCCAATTACTATAAGCCGACTGCAGGGATTGAAGATTTTAAATATAGCAGATAACTCAATTTCTGGTAATGTAGTTTTATTTCTATACCATATGTATGTTTCTTGTTGTATTATGTCCTTAAATAATCTTAAGTATCATTAAACATTCAAAAATAAATAATACATAATTATATTATAATATGCAGTTGTACCAAGTGAATTAGCAGATTGTAGTAAACTGAAGGAAGTGTATCTGCAAGAGAATAAATTGTCAGATAGGAGGCTAACAAAATTAATTAATCAATGCTCCACGAAGCAAATACTGGATTACGTCAAGTTGCACTGTCCAAGAAGTGAATTATCCACGACAGAAAATAATACGTCGAAGAAAGGAAAGAGGGGTCAGAAAGTCTCCGAAAGTGAAAATGTAGTTGATAGCTTGGCGCATAAATTAAAAGTCTTGAAAATATTGGACGACACACCAGTGATAAAAATTACAGAACACGTAAAAAGTATCAGGCCTTATATAGCTGCGTGCATCGTGAAAAATATAAGCTTCACAGAAGAGAATTTCAAAAAGTTTATTCAGCTGCAAACAAGATTACACGATGGAATATGCGAGAAAAGGAATGCAGCTACAATAGCGACTCACGATTTCAAACTCATTGTACCTGGTAGATATCGAGTATTTAATAACGTATTATTTGTGCATTAATATTTTATTAAGACATATTTTGTTACTCACTTTTGTAGGAGATCTCACATATACGGCGGAGGTGCCTACAGAATTGAAAATAAAGCCTCTAATGTACAACAAGATATACACAGGCGCGGATCTGTTCCAGAAGTTGCAGATGGAAGCTGAGGCTCTACGTAAAGAGAAGAAACGAAATGTGTATTCTGGAATACACAAGTATTTATATCTGCTGGAAGGCAAACCTTTATTTCCATGTCTGTTGGATCAATCACAGCAGGTTATTTCATTTCCACCCATCACAAACAGTGACATAACGAAAATGTCTGTAGCTACCGAAGAGATGCTCGTAGAAGTAACTAGTGCTATATCATACACAATTTGCAGGTGAGATTCTGTGTATGTAACGATATATCTCAATCTTTTTTATCTGTATACACAATAGGTATAATAAGTCGTAAGTTAAGATATCAACCAGTTATATACTCATTTGTAACGACGTAGATTAACTTTAATTTCAGTTCAATTTACTCTTTATTTTTTTTTTAATTCTTAGAACCAGAAAAAGACAGAGTTACTTGAACTAAAATTAAAATTAATCTACTCTAATAGTAATTTATTGATGATATCTTTGCTAAATGTTGGAGATATTTTGGATCAATATTAAATAAATATTAAGCTAATATTTAATCAGTATTAGATGAAACATCAGGTTAAGTCTAACTACAAGTTAACCAGCAAATGAAACGCCTAAAAAAAGAGATCAGTTCTCTAATACATTTGTACTCTTTTATTCCCAGGAATGTGTTGGATCAATTTCTGAAGGAATTGATAATCTCGGGTCTCGTCGATTCCATAGAACCGAAGGATACGGATAACAAGTGTAACAACTTGACGGTTCAACAAATCAAAGTAGTCGACACCCAAGGAAATCTAAAGTTGGTATATCCTTCAAGGGCAGATTTGAATCTTAGCGAACAGCTTGTCGTTGTATTACGAGACTAAAGAGAACATGGAGAGCAATTAAATTTTGCTCAACCTCAAATTCAATCGATTTAAAATTTAATAGTTTTTTTTTTATAAAAAAAGAAAAAAAGAGAAATATAGAAGCTCCTTATTTTCGATTCGTTATTGGCGAACTCGACGTGAGATTTATTAGAGAGAGAAAACTAATTACGAGAGTAATTAATTTTTTTTAACGTATTTGTCGCGAGAGACGTCGAGATCGCGTGACGAAGCATAACGAAATAATCGCGATGGGTGCGTTCGGTTCGCTTTATCGTGTCGATTAGAGGCGTTTGGTGACAGGAAGCGGCGGTTATCCGCAGATTTGAATGGTCGCGAAGGGACATCGACCGGCGCGGCGGTAGCTGGCCAACGGCGGCGATAGTGGCGCTACCGTCTCGCTACCGAATCGCGCCGTCTCGACGAGCGCCGGTACTTTGGATCCTCGTCTGTTTTTATAAATATTGTACTTTGCTACGCGTGTCGCGTTCGCGTTCGAAACTCTCGACGTTTGTTGACCGACACCCTCCGCTGTGTTCCCGCGGGTTGTGCGCCGCGACGATCGCCCTTCATGGTGTCCCGGCGATAAGAAGAAGGTGCTTCGACAGAGGTTGGGCAACTTTCCTTGATATGCGCGAGTGTTTGAAGTGATAATATGGCGCCGAAATTATGACTGGTCACGTCGGGGGAGCGAGGAATTTGAGGTTAGTACGTTCGTTTCCACTTTCTCGCCCGGAGTCATCCGCTGTGTCATCGCGATGTCGAATTTCCTTTTGTTCTCCAGTCAATTCTCCTCGTGTCGTACGTGGACATGCGGCCCGTTAAACGTATCGCGCGTCTGCGAAACTATCCGTCACGTTTTATAATTAACGTTGTTTTTATGGACAGGTGCCTCAATTACGGTATAGTCACGCGCGTCATTGTCCTCGCGGTGACATCGTCGCCAGGTTCCCAGTACGGAACAAGCGCGATAATACGAAATATTACCGACTATTCCTTGCAACATATTCAATGTATTCCACACGATTCCTTATTCTTTCCCTTACAATGTTTTACATCACAAATTGAAAATATTTTTTTTCTTATCACGTTTGATGCATTAGTAATATATCTTTTATTTTGAGTTTGTATCTTACAAACAATTATATTTATATTTAGTCGAAAAGATGCTACTATACTTATAGTATTTTTTTTCAATATTTTATTTTTGTTTGCCATATGTTGCAAATTGAACAGAGCTGATGTATGCATAATATTTATACAATTACAGGTCCTCCTGTATATACTGATTTTGATATTTATAGAACTCAGTGCAATAAATTTAAGCAAAGAAATGTTAAAATTATGTTTTATTCAACACATTGTGATACATCGAAATCATTTTTTGCTACATGTAGAATGTATTACATGAAAAATATGTTAGGTCCTCTAAACTGTCTACTGGAAAAATATAAAAAAATATAATATTGATGCACAGGAATCTGTAATTTCTACATATCCGAGATCTTGAAAATAGAATATCAATAACTTACTGTTCTATTGTATAATAAATGCTGCTATTGTATAATAAACGATATACTACACAACAAAACTATGTCTAGGTCTACGATCTTATTTTAAGAGGTCCTAAACTGTAAAGCCATAAGACATTGACCAATCACAGTCGATTATTTTTCTCATATTCAACTGTGATTGATCAATTTCTTGGTTTAAGATTTTACGGCTTACGGCCTCTTAAAGCAAGGTTATGAAGATCATGATTGCGTGTAGTAGAAAAATCAGTTTGGCAATTATAAAATTCTTTAACGATTGGTTTATACATTTATATTCAATAAAGAACTAAAGGCAAGATCAATCATATTAATAAATTTTACAGCAGTTGCAAAACCGTTTTTCTGCTGAATGCAGCCTATGAAACTATGCCATATTGATAATGAAATATTTTGGTCTTTGTCACTATTAATGCTTTAAAAATAAATTCTTCTCCTCTTTCGTAAAAGTATACATTTCACATATATTCTAACGTAAGAGAGTTTGGCCATTTATCTTCAGATTATTTTTAAAGAATAATATTTTCCTACGCATCAACTAATAGGCCTATTCTATAACTTTTGATGAGTGTTGTTATCATTAAGCTTTTTATGTACTATAGATACATCATCTGGGACAAGTATATAGTGATAACGACACTCATTTGAGCTTACAAGATAGGTCTATAAGTTAAATAGAGACATCTTTTGACCACGCATTTTTAAACACATTCTTTCTGCTTCTTAAAAATATATATGGAAGTATGTAAACATGCGTGTATCAATTTATAGAATAGGAAGATTGTAGATCACATTCAACTTGACTAGCAAACAATGCGTTGAGAGAGCGAGAGATTCTTAATTCATTTTAAGCCGCTCCTGACGTTCTTTCACGTCAATGATGCTGAGATTGATGCACGCCACGTATCCATGTAATAAAGAGATAGCAGCTTTGACAAGTGCTATCGGGAAGGTCAAGTGCACGATTATACTGTACAGACTCATACCGGCAACTGCAAGATAAAACGTCATTATACATTCTCACATTTAAGAAAGAAATATGGTATTGCAATGTTACTTACAAATTGGTCCTGGGGTAAAATGCAGGAGGTACAGACCAGCGTAGAATGCTTCATTGCCAGCGCACATGAAGAATAGTACCATGCGATTTGTGTAGTACAGTCTCATGATCGGATTCTCAGACATATCGACAAACTTGTGACTGGTTTTTCCTTGCAGAAGAGTCCTGATGTATTTCAATAAGGCAATTATTACATTTCTTTACTAGTTTACATCGTATTATTATATGTACAATGTAGTGCCAGCTTAGACGTAATAAGAACAGACTGCATTTCTATGATATATTGTCACTATTAGATTAAAAAGAGTGAAGTAGTTTGAAGAAGAGTTCCGATAATAGAAATATTAGCTTGAAGGCATATCGCCTTTCTTTAAAGTATCAAGTTAAAAGATTTGTTCTTTATTCTTGCAAACTACTACAATTCTCTTTCTCGCTTTCAAATATCAAACAAATCTATCTTACTTTAAAAAGTGTACACTAGTTCTCATCTACAGAAAACTAAAGAGAGCTGATAGTTGAAGAGAGATATGTTCCAGAGAAATTGTTTCCACCAAAACACAGAAGATAAGATCAATGCGTAGTCTACACCTATTATGTCTATGAGTGCTGTTTAAGATTTGTAATTTTGTATAATGGCTTAACCTATCAGTATTCATACCTGTTAACTTCCTTTTTTTTTTTAAAATAAAGATAAGAAAAAGAAGATAAAAAGCATGAATGCTGATGTATGTCAAGCCAGTATCTAGAATTACAAACCTTAGACAACACTGATGTATTACAATCTAAATTTATTATACGTTATTTCTTACGTGTGCAAATATATCCAGTGGCAAGATATGTCGATAGCCATGCTCACTCGAAACCAGAAGGTATATGGTTCGTAGAATTGGCACAACGTAGCCATGAGACACATCGTGCCGATTCTATCCGTCAGCTGATCCAAGATCGCACCAAACTTGGTGCTCTGATTGTAATACCTGGCCGCATGGCCGTCTACCGCGTCCAGCAACGAGCTAACCACGTAACACCATGATGCAATGACGTAGTTAGTGGACATAAAGTAGAAGGAAATCAATGCCAGAATCACTCTGCCGATACCTGTTGAAATGCATAATTATACTTTCTGCTGTTATCACGTTTGGCATATAAACATAACTTTAACTACTGTTTTATCATTATAATCAATCGGAAAATAATTCAAAATTTATGCTTCTAGATGCTGAAAGTAAAAATTGCTTTGAAAGAATTACAAGAAAAATTTATTATTGACTGGCCGATATAAATGTTACATAAAACAATAGCGGCGTTGACTCAATCAATAAAGGCAACCTTAAAAACGTCGTACGGTCGCATGATTGTAGTCTTATACGATCGTCTCATCGACTGAATTACTTGGAATTACGCAGAACGATTCGTCGAGGGAAAATCCGATTTTCCAGCTACTTTAGTCTCATTCAATTGAATCTTGGCGAGCATCGATACCTGCCCAGTCTTACTGCGTATTACATACAAATACAAAAATGGTTCCACACGACGTACTCGTCAGTGTGATTATCTCACAAGGAAAATATCTCGAGATTAGGTATTTACCGATGATATTTGGCACGAAGAGAAAGATATTCTCTGACTTGGTCATTTCGGCGTACTCCGACGTAGACTCTCCTCACAGGAATATCTATCTACGAGATAATGTGACTCTTATCTAGAACTGCCGGCTCGTGTCAGGGATTATCTCGATGCCGACTCACGTATCTGCAGACACTTCACTCGGACCGTGATAGATCGTGATTGCACGGACGATTTTCCTCTCTGCCTCCGTATCGCGAGCGTCGCGTCGCGTGGCGTCGTCCGGATGCAGCTGGCACTGCTGGCAGCCGACAGCAACGGGAACAAAGTGTCGGCATCGAGCGGTATCGTATTCGTGCGACTTCGAGATGTATCGACCTGCGGTGACGCGTACTGCACCGGCCATCAAAAGTCCATAGCCGTGACTAACCCTGCACGCGCCACGTGCACTTTTGTCTGTATTCGACTTGAGGTGTTTTTTATTGCCGCATTGTGGACTAGAATTTACCTCCTTGCTCTTGCCAAATGTATAATTTTATATCAAACGTATACCTATTTCATTTTAAAAAGAGTGTATGTTATATATTATGATTCAGCTATAAAAAACAGACCTTTAATATTTGAAAAAACGCAATTCATATCATTGCCTTGCGTTCTCTATACTTGGAGTAATTCGACAAAATGATTAAGTTATCAAATAATTTAATGATATGGATTTACCTCCTTGTTTTAAATATATATTAAACGTATACTTATTTTATTTTAAAGAGTTTATACATTATGGTTCAGCTATATAAAAAACAGACCTTTAATATTTGAAAAACGCAAGTCATATTATTGCCTTGCATTCTCTATACTTGGAATGATTCGACAAAATGATTAAATTCATATCAAGTACTTTAATAATATGGGTATATAAATATTTTTATATATATATAATATCAAGTTTTAATTAATTAGTTGAAAATTAATAAAATATAGAATATATAAATGATAAGAATTAATATAATTTCTTATTATTTAACATGGAAAGAGATTAAAAAATGACGAATTAAATAAATAGTAATTTTGCTGAAACAATTCTGCAAGTAATCATTGATTACATTAATCGGAATTCAATATTATACTGTATTAAATTTCTAAATTTTTTAAACTTCTCTTCTTCTGTATAGTTCTTATGTTAATGTCTATTTCTACCAATGTAATTAACTTTAATATCATTTAATTAATTTAATTAATTATATTTAATTCTTTTTCTAATTTTTAGATAATTTTTATAAAATGATAATTAGTAGAACTGCGTTTGTGTCAGTTTTTACCAACCTCTTACTTAATCTCTTTATTTTAATCTCAGTTCAATTTCCTCTTCATTTTTTTCTAATTCTTAGAACAAGAAAAAGATGAAGATTTAGATTTAAATCGAGGTTAAAGTTGAACATTGCACTGTTAGAAATGCTTCCTTTATATATAAATAAAGCTCGTAGTTGAACGAAATTAAAATAACAATGAGTGATTTAACTGAACATTAAATTATAGTTACTTAAATGTAATGAACGTGTACATTAAATTTCACTTATTTAATTTCATAATGTCATGAAATTAAGTTCAAATTGCGTAACTTAAAAGTATATTAAATTTCATGAAATTTTTAACAGAGCAGTGTGATAGAAATACACAAAGAAAGAATAAGAAATTATTCGTCAGTTCCGTTTCCTTGTAAAGTTTCCTTTGGTAAAAACGGAAGAACGAGATATTAATTAACACCCGGGGCGCTGCGTGAAGCGAGCACACAGCTGCACGCCAGACGATGTTTTCGCAGGCCGGAGCGGCTGGTCCGCCGTCGTTCCTCTGCGCAAAAGCGGGGATTTCGCTTGTTACAGTGTCGCGACGGGAAAGTGTAAAGTCCATTGTAAAGCGACGGTCCGCCCTCGGCTTTCCCCGGTGATAATCGTTCGCGCGCGTGCGGACGGCGTCGCTCGGCGGAGGGTGTCCGTAAGATCCCTCAGGGTGGACCTGTCTCGCCTTCGGATCGGCTCCGCGCGTCATCGTGCGTTTCTCGCGATTCGTAAAATCGTAACTCTGCGGTCGTAGTTCTGCGACAGCCGTGAATCTCATTGACAAACATTCGTCGTGGTTACCGCGCGCGTCGTCATTATCCTCGTCGTCGTCGTAGTCGTTATCGTCATCGTCGTCATTCGATTCGGAGCCAATCCTCCGTTTCGCGTCTCGCTCGAAGACATCGCGGAGAAGCCAGTCGCCTCCCTCCCCTCCCCAGAAAAAGGCAATGTCGTGCGATCGATAACCCGGCGCCCGATCTCGGGGAGACCCAGTTGGCGCGACCAGTTGGCGCACCGTCGTTTCGCACGGAATTAAATCGACTCTACCCGTGTACTCTCCTTTCGTTCGTTTTTCCGTTTCTCCCTCGCTTCGCGCGACGATCCCGTCTGCGATCCGTCGCGCCGAGAAAGAGAGAGAAAGAAAGCGAACTAATGGTATCTACTATGCCGACAATATTCGTACAGTGAGATCGTCCGTCGTGTCACGTTGACGAATCGCGACGTCGCGCGCTGGGCGGCGATGACGAATTCGCTCGCCGTTCTCGCCGAGCCTCTCGGACCTCTCGGTGCGCGTTGCCGAAGGAAATAGGCTCCGCGACGCGCGCGAGGATCGAGATTCGCGCGTGTGTACGCGCTTGCGTTGCGCGTGTGTGTGTGTGTGTGTGTGTGTGTGTGTGTGTGTGGTGGCGCGCGCGCGCCAGGGAGCGTCGCAGAGACGCGCCTGGTGTGCGTAAGCGTTTTCTCCGCGAAACATCCTTCCTGCGAATGGACTCTTTCTCACGCCGTTCCGTCGCGCACGTATGTACGCGCGGACGGACGAAGCGAAACGCGTGCGTGGTGCGTGCGTGTATTCGCGTTGCCCCTGCGCAGCGGCGGCGGCCATTTTGAATCGATGAGTGCTCGCCGCGGCGGCGATTATCAACATCGCCGCGTCGTAACGCCAAAATTGGACGGTTCTCCGTGTCGCGCTGTGTCGCCGTTCCTCGACGACGCCGCGCCTATCCACGATTCTCCTCGTCGTTCGAGAAGCTTCGCCGGGTCTTCGTGTCTGCGCGACGACGCGCCGTCACTGTCACCGTCACTGTCACCTTCATCGTCATCGTCACCGTCACCGTCATCGTCACCGTTACCATCACCGTCGCCGTCGTCGTCGACGACGTTGTATTTAGAAATGGTATTGTCCAACTGGGCTTTCTACTTTCGAGAGGAAACGCCGACGACCGCGGCAGCAACACCGAATGGGCCCCGACCATTCTTGGAAAATCTATACTTTTGAAAAGCTGGACCCCCTCGTCGCTCGACGTTGCCAGAAGAAAAAGAGTGTGGAGGACGAGGAGGAGGTGGTGAACGAGAAGAGGAGGAAGAGGAGGAGGAGGAGGAGGAGGCGAGAAACGGCACGCGGTCGAATCCACCAGTTGGCGACGCGTCGATCGTTCAAATTTGACATGTGACCGCCAGAGCGGTGTCGCGTTTACGTAAGTTGTCTCCCGAACGAACGTTTCGCAAAGGAATCGCTGATTCTGAGTGGTGTAAGAATTTTCCTTTCTCGCGTTCACCTTCGACTTCAACGACGAGGAAGGAAAACAAAAAAAAATCGCCGAACGCCGTTTCGCCAGCTCGCCGTACGCGATCGATGACGTCGCGACGGACAGCTGTGTCGCCGCGCCAGTTGACAGTTCGCTCGACTCGGGGCTAACCTCAAATTCGCGCGAGGTCGGCCGTCAGACGACGTGTCCTCGACGTCGGGCGCATCTATCGACGGAGCTGCGCGAATCGGAGTGTCGTCCAGTCTCCTGGACGGAAAAAGCGATAGGAGACTCCACGAGGAATCTCGTAGTTGGATTCTCCAGGAGGATCAATCGCCGCGAGGAACTCACCGGGGCCATCTTTCTCCGTCGGGTGCGCGCGCGTGTGCGGAATCGAGTGCGAGGATTTCGCGGAAACTCCGCACCGAGGAATCGTGCGCGCGTGTTAAATCCCGGAGTAGCCCCGGAAGTTATCTTCGATCCAAGTTTCTTTTTGGATCTCGATTGTTTCCCGATCAAGGACTTTTCTCTCTTTCTCTCTCTTTCTCTCTCTCTCTTTTTCTAGTCTGAATATTTCTTAGAGAATTATGACTCTTTCCAACTGAATCCAAAAATTGACAGCTTGTCCTTATTTTGATCAACACTTATTATATTAGGATTAGTTAGTCCTTTTCTAAGTCGCGGTTGTCTCTCTATTCAAAAAGGTATAAGGAAAAGGAAAGCTGAAAAAATTCGATTAAACTATTAGAAAACTTAGCGATCTGCGTAAGCATTGGTGAAACCAATCCTTGAATTCGACCTCGACGTCGTCGTCTAAGCGTACTTCGCGCTCGTCTAACCGCGAGAATATAGCGTCTTCTTCGGCCGTTGTATTTCCGAACGCAGCGTCTTCAATGCGGTACGGATCATTGATCGATACGCGAATAGTCCTTTCGCGGCTTCGTGACCCTTGAAGGATAAAGAGAAAAGAGGAGAGAGATGACGAGGGAGCCATGAGCACGGCGGACACCGCGCTGTCAATCTCGATCAAGATGGCCCCAGGGCCGGAACATCGTCAGGAACCGGTAGCTCCTGACAAAATCGCTGAAAGCGACCGTGCCGCCGACGCCGCCGTCGCCGCCGTCGCTGCCGCCGCTGCTGCCGATGTAGTTATCGATATAGAGACCGTCAACGCCGTATCGACGTCCGGTAGCAGCAACAGCAACAATAATAACGACGACAATAATAACGTCGCCGTTGCCGCCGTTGCCGCCGTCGCCGTCATCGCCGCAGAGCAAACTTCGAACATCGAGATTGCTCCGGCTAATTTTGCCGCTGGCGCCGCCGATTCGATCAGCCAAAGCTCACCGCTGAACAGCGGCGCCGACAGCAAACAGGTGAGCATCGCAGCGGCGACCGCGTCGAGGAATCGTCGATCCTCCCTCCTTTCTTCGATTCTTAACAGGCTTTCTACATTAAGCCATAAGAAATTGATCAATCATAATTGGTTATTCTTCTCACATTCGATTACGATTCATCGATTTCTTATGACTTAAGCTTCAGACTTAAAACTTGGGTAATGACTTATTGTAAAAAGCCTTTAAGGAGTATAGACCTTTGCATTACGCATAATGCATAAAGCATGAGAAAATCAGCCAGTAAAAGTCTTTTATTTTATGGAAAGGAAAAGAAACTTTGAAGGACTTTGATTGGTTCGTTTTCTAAAAGGATTTTTATAATATATGCCATTATAGGCTTTCTACAATAAGACATTAAATTAAAGCTTCAAGTCTTAAGTCGTAAGAAATTGACCAATCACGGTCAAATGTGAAAAGAATAATCGATTATGATTGGTCAATTTCTTACAGTTTAACACTTAAAGCTTGGACAATAGCTTATTGTAGAAAATCCGTTAGTAATCAATCAAAAGTCAGAAGCTAGAAATTGACCAATCACAATTGAATATGAGAAGAATACTCGATTATGATTGGTCAATTTCTAGCTTCTGACTTCTGATTTATTGTAGAACTGACTAATGGTTTATTGTAGAAAGCCTCTTACGCATTATGCGTTCTGCGTTATGCGAGATAACGACAAATACAACAAGCACACAGGATGAACTTTAAAATTGTAGTATTGAAGGTCTGAGATATCACCTTTCACCATTTGCACCAGTATAACGATATGAAGATGGAAATATAAAAAGAGAAAATTTTTATTATGAAGATAATAGGAAAATTTTTCATTTTTCGTGTTTTCACTTTAGAGTTACATGATTGCCAGCTTAGGAGTCAATCACGTAACTTTTTCCCTAACGTGGAACTATAAAAAAAATGAAAATGTATGTGTGTACATACGATATACGTACGAAAAACTCACTTTTCACTTTTCACGTTTCCGCTTTAGACATGAAAGTTACATGATTGACTGATCTCACTAGAAAGGCATTTACGTTGTTTCGGAATAAAATTCGTCATGAGAAAACAATGCATTGATTATATGCATCGATCATTCGCTGCTCCAATTTCTCCTTCTCTTCTCATTCTCTTCTCATTTTTAAATATGAAAGAATTGAACGCGATCTGTATATATATGTATGAATTCTGATGAAACCATTAGGCCTTTGATTTGTGAAGTTCTGATGGTGATATTGGATTACAATTTTCTCTCTAGAAAATGATTTATTTCCTTTTGTGTCATCGATGTTAATAATTATTTACTTATATCTGTTTAATAAATTGGACTGTTGCTAGCACATTCTTTTCATTCTTCTAAAATAGAATTCCGGGAAAGAGAGTACTGATATTGTAATGCGATAGGAACGAATTTATTTTAAAATAATGCGCAAAGATCTCACACGCTATATTTATCTCCCCTTATTTTAACGTGCGTCCTTTCCGAAATCCACAAATTACGACAGAAGGTTAGGGGTCATCTATTTTTTTCTAATTTTGTTAAGGTTAATGTACAATTGAATTAAAGGAAATAGGAACAAAAAATAACAGCTAGAGGTATATTTTAATTAGAAATCGTGTCTACTGTATTTTTTATTATGTATTATCTTAAAACTCATCGCACGAAAAGTGACATAATTTGCATAAACATAAGATAAAAGCCGAAAAAAATCTTTATATAACGCATATAAGCAAATCAACCAATCAGTCTTCTATTTCATGTAAAGGAAGGAAATAAGACTTCGGTTGATTCATTTATGCATTATGCAATATAAGTTATGCAAAACTCTGTGTTCCTGTTAAAGCCGTTGGATTAATGAGCATCTCATGTGAATCAATATGATGCCTCTGTACTGGATGCTCATTGGTCGAATGACTTTGTGCTGTGCTTATGAAATCTCTAAATTTCTTGAAGTGAAGTTTCTCACTCCAAAAGAGTGAAAATACTGCCACTTTCGAAAAGGAGTGAAAATATTTGCTCTCTTTTGAAATGAGATTCACTCCAAAAGAAATCTCTGCACTCTTTTTTTGGAGTCTCGAATCTCACTACAAAAGTATGAAATCTTACTCCAAAAAGAGTGAAAATCTGCTATTCTTACTTAAGAGTGTAAATGTTTTTTACTCTTTTTCAATGGCAGTAAGTTTAACTTTTTTGAAATGCGATTTAATTCCAAGAAATTTAGAGAACAGCTGATGTCATTTTGTGTATTAGAAGTTTTCTACAAGTGGAATAATTTGAAAATGTTGAAATAGTAAAAAATTGAGGTCATCATAGTATATTCAATTAAACATACAAAATGTACATTATTGATGCAATAGAGTATATTTTGTATGTTAAAATTTCTGATAATCCAAATTGTCACTTTACCCAAAGCCATTAGTGATAAATCAGAAGATAGAAATTGTCAAGTCATAGTCAAGTATTCTTCTCATATTCGACTGTGATTGGTCAATTTCTAGCTTCTTACTTCTGATTTATTACTGATGGCTCATTGTAGAAAAAGCCTCTAATAAATTTAATAAAACAAAAAAAAATAGATAACTTTTAAATAATAGATTTCAACCTACTAGAAACGATATAGATTGTAGGTAGATAATATCATAATACACAATTTCTAGATAGATTTCAATTTATTTTCTATTCTTGTTGCTTTTCAATTGAGCATTTTAACTTTAGAGAAACTCAATAAAAACACACACCTCCTATAGATCTTTATTGCGATTTAAGGACACGGTTCTGAAAGTTAGTTACGCTCCTGAAAATGCCGGCTCTCAATAGAGCGAGGACACATCCGTGCAAATACGTTCTCAATATCCCTTTTCGGTGTTTGATCAGCTCGCACAATTTCTTTCAGACAATTAGGCAACTCAATTGCAAGCTCAAGCGCCGCTTCGATTCTTGATTTACGTGTATTGCGTAATAAGAATTGGGAATCGGAGCGATTTTGCTGAATTTATACGAAATCGATATAATGACCGAACAATGGATTGTGGCTGAATTATATCAGGATAACAACAAAGAAATTAATATTACCATTTTACAATTAATATATATTGAGTGTAAATATTTATTTCCGTTAGCTCTCTGCGTTTTATTTATGACTAATAAAATGTCGGAAAGAAGCTTTGTCATGTTCTCCGCGAGATCACTCATCTTTTTGATGAGTAATTATAATCTCGTTATGTACTTCGTTTCTATTACCATCTCTTACTTTTATTTTTTTATTGTTTGTTCATCTTTTTGCTTATCATTTTATTAAAAAACAGATAAGGGTCAAGTCGCTCGATCATTACGCGATGTAGCAATTAAATCATTTTTCATCTTCCTAAAATTATGTAATTATGATTTTATAACTTCAAGGTTTAGAAGATCCTGATTTTGGATCATTCCGATCAATGGATGAAGCTTTAATTGAATAACTCTGTAAATTGTTGTAACCTTTATAAGATGGAAAATCCCTTTAGTACTATATAGTGGCGTTCAAATAGTATCATATTTTGAAGCAAGGAGTGTATAATAAATTATAATAAATCTTACCCAAGGAAAAGCTGTAAGATTTAGAAAATAGATGCTCGTCCTTCAAAGATTAATTGATCAATACGTGATTTGTACACTAATTTTATACTGACGTTCTTTGTTTTCTTTTTCTCAATTTAATCATCCCTGACAGTTTTAAATTTTAATCCGTAACAAGGGATACATGGATTCTTGTAACCTACTAAAGTTTTTTTGTGTTATATGTTAATTTTAGAAGATTAAAATTTTTAACTGTATATGAGATATATATCTATTTTTGTTCTTACATTAAATTCTTACACTAGAAATTTCTTTCTCGCTTTCTCATCAAATACCAAATATATTAACTTATGTCAATATCAAATATATAACCTATTTAACTTTAAATTTCAAAAGTTCAGCTATAAAAAACAGACTTATAAAAATTGTAATACTTTAATTACGTAGCACAAATATGGTATTATAATTAGCTCACACGAATAAAACAATCTGTGTGAACAAAAAAATTGTGACACATGAAATTATTTAAAATAATTATACTATTTAAAAATTAGGAAAATCATTATACGTTCCAGTTATGGATTAAATCAATCTGCACTTGTCGCCTTTGATTGAAAGGTCTGCTCTCGCCGGTCGACTTGCCTCTTTAATTAGCTTCATGTAAATGCCCCCGTAATACAATGCTCATTATTATCAACCAATAATGGGCGTTATCGCGGGACGCTCGTAAACCAATTATCATTATCTCGTGGAAGGTGAACGCGTGCAACTCGTCACATCATTGGGTTAAGCCTTCGATCATCCCGATTTGCGATATTGAACTTTTTCAGTTGTCCCGCATAAACGTGCCTTGTCGGGCAGCTCACGTGTACGCGAAAATTGCGTAATTGACGGACGTTTCAAGTGCAAAAAAAAAACGGCACGGCTTAATATAATATCAGCCGCGAACGCATACGTTCTTGAGACGTGACGATTAGAACTGGAACTCTATATACGGCGCGACTTCCGAGGCCGCGCAGCGACGTTCTCAAGATCGGCGTTGCGATTGGAGATGCCATAATTTCTACAAGTTTTTCAAAGGTTTTCTTCGATTTCTACGAAGTATTAAAAAATCGATCTTTGTATCAGTGACATTTGACTTGACGTAAGACACGGAAAAAAATGATACGTAATAACTAACAACAGTTTAATTAAAAATAATACCGTAATTTGTACAAGTTTTTTAAAAATTTTTTTCCGAGTCCTACGGACTCGTATTAAAAAAACCAATTTATGTATCTGTGATATTTGACATAAGGCATGGAAAAAAATGATACACTAATAGCTAACAGCAGTTTAAAAAATGCCGTAATTTGTGCAAGTTTTTCGAAAGTTTTTTTCGTTTCCTACGGAGTATTTAAAAAAAAACCGATGTTTGTATCTGAGA